TCAGTATATCCTTTTTTGTGAGTTTTATGCTTATTCATGAACCTCAGGTTATGTTAGCTGCAGTATACTTGGCCTTCATCTAGTTGATCACTGGCATGTCTCTCTTTCACGTCAGAAGTGTCTCCACTTCAGATGAAAGAAAGCCTTGCCACCTGATAACTGAGCAACTGCACTATTTATGAGCAGGATCATAAAGGCCAATCCGCCCCTCGGATGAGGCAATCTGATTTCTTTTGTGCCGTCTCAAAATACATTTTAGAGCAACAAAAGAACCAGCTCTAGACTTTTTTTTTTTTTTTTGGTGAGCATTCATAGAAAATCCTACTTGTGCTGCAGAATGGCCACCATAAGTCAGCAAAGTTTATGGTGTGGCACAGGACAGCTTCTTTGCAAAACTTTGGATTAGTACTTGTCTGCATATTAGGGCACAGCAGATCATGCGTCTCCTCCATCCATAACTGCAGACTCAATTTGCCTAGGGCCATGCAGGGAAAAGGAGGTAGGGTTTAGCCTCTCAACCAGAACCTGCTTTCTCTGTCCAAAGCTGCCTTCCTTGTTACTATTTCAAAGGAAAAGATTTGCCCTTTAAAAACATTAAAATACTAATAACAACACGGTGACTCTGGTTTTGATTACTGAAACCGAGAGTTGCTTGGAGAGTTAAATCTCTCCTTCCTTCCCTGCATGGCCTAGAGACATACTGAGGTGCACAACTCTACATGTTTGCATTTTATAGATGGACATAGGCCCTTTCTGCACTCTCCTTTTAATCCATGTTCAGTACGGTGTCCTCTGGGCCATCCTGCACTAAAATCTACTTTAACCTTTTTATTCCGGGTTATTTTTCTGTTCTGCATTATGTTACCTCCCTTCTGTAGTCAGCCCGGTTTTAGCCCACTTTGCCCCGGGTTTTTTAGATGCTGTTTTGCCACAGATTTAAATCACCTCAACTCGAACAGTGCGAAAATTCGGAGTGGCAGGCAAATGTAGAGAGGACCAGAGAGAGTGCAGTGTTTATTGAGGAGTTTATTTTAATTGCTTTTGTTTTTTTGAAGTTGCATTTTTAATTTTTTGTACTTTTTATTTTTAATAGTTCTGGTTTGTGGCAGAATTTGGATGAGCTTGATTAAACAAAAGCACTGTTATCTATGAGGGATCTCTAAGAGAACCCTCGACTAACCAACATTTCCCGGATTTTCCAATAAAACCCATGATTTTTAAACTAGTTTTAAAATCAGTATATGCATGAGGTATATACATAAGCCCAAATGTCTACACCATAATGCCACTTCTGTTGAAGGAACATTAAAGCAATGCAAATGAAGGTATTTAGGAACAGAAAAAGGCAGGTAATGAAATAAATAGTGCTGAAGAGATTCAAGAAAACTCTTCTTGGATTCTACAGGGTGTTTTTCTCCCTGCTGAGGTAGCTTCTGCCAACATATCTAATTACCAAGCTCTTTATGCACTATCCATTTCTTCTCATCATTTTCAAAAAAATTATAGTTGCCATAACAACATAATGCCGTCGACACAACATTGCTGCTGTTTTCTGTAGTCAAGCCTAGGTGCCATCAAGAAGATATTTGCTAAGAAATGGAAAGATGGTAATGTTCCGACTAAAGAAGAATTTGTTTTCAAATTACTTGATATAGCAGAAATGGAGAAATTAACCTTTATCATTGAAGAAAAAAGTTCAGAGAGTTTTGAAAATTATTGGTTTGGTTTTTATAGATGGCTGAAAGAGTCTAATTTTGGTTTAATCTAATGAACAAGGTTTATTTTTGGCTATGTACAATCTAACAGTGTAAAAAGCACAGGTAACTTTTTTTCTTGAATTTTGTGAGGATTTCTGAAAAAATGTAACTATGAAATGATGATGGTCAATTTTGGCATATTTATATTAGAAAACCAATGTAGTAGTAGTAGTAGTAGTAGTAGTAGTAGTAGTAGTAGTAGTAGTAGTAGTAGTAGTAGTAGTAGTAGTAGTAGTAGTAGTAGTAGTAGTAGTAGTAGTAGTAGTAGTAGTAGTAGTAGTAGTAGTAGTAGTAGTAGTAGTAGTAGTAGTAGTAGTAGTAGTAGTAGTAGTAGTAATAATAATAATAATAATAACAATAATAATAATAATAATAATGAGGAAGAAGAAGAGGAAGAAGATCAACCGTGTGATCAAATCCCACGGCCTCTAAAATGGGTAGTAACAAGTGGGGGTCCACAAGATTCACACAGTTAGGGTCCCATTCCCCTCCTCTCGTCGGTTCACCCTCAGCTCCCTCAGAATCAACAACTGCCCTCAGCTTGGGTTCCCATAACATCTCCTCACAGGCAAACTCACAGAGATGGGGGCGGGGTTCTCACTCGCTTGCCTGCCCCATCCTGCATTCTGCTTACCTGCTGCCCTGCCTGCCTGTGCACCATTTCCCTCCCTCCATCCCTCTCTCTCCCCCCTTCCCCCACTCTGCCAACCCATCTACCCTTCACTCACCAGGCCCCTTTCCTGCTGTTCTACTTCTCCTTCCTTCTTGCCACTGCTACCATTCTGCCCGCTTGCTCCCTCCCCTTCACTCCTTTGCCTGCTTGTTTCTAGGATTGCCGCTGCCCATCATTCTCCCACTTCCCTGCCCATCCACCCAGTTGTCACCTGGCTGAAGGGGGGGGGCACACAGCAACTCCTGGTCAACTTCCCTCCCAGCCTGAGAAGTGGTGATGGCAGGTCTGCCATTGTTGCTGGGTGTCCTGGCGTGTGTGTTGGGGTAGCTCCTCCTCCCTGCCTCTGCACCAGTGTTCCCTCTAAGCTGAGTTAGTGTGAGCTAGCTCGCAGTTTTTTAGCCTCTGGGTCACACATTTTTGTCTTCGCTCAGGAAGGGTTAGGGTGAAAGGAGACATTCCAGCAGGAGCTAAGAGGTAAACTGAGCATTGGAGGAGATGGATCTGTGCTGAAAACTTGTCACAGTTTTATCCTGTGTTCACCGTCGTGATGGTTTCCCCACAAAGCAACATGGGGTCTCTGTTAAGCTCCTCCTCATTGAGTTACCATTTTCAAGTTTCTCTGGAAATAGGGAATGAGTATTGCACTAGTTTAAGAAAACAACGTTTGAGTCCAGTGGCGTGTTTAACAAAGTTTAATTCTTGGTATGAGCTTTCATATGCATGCAACCAGAATTAAACTTGGTTGGTCTTAAAGGTGTCCCACTGGACTCAAACTTGGTTCTGTTGCTTCAGACCAACATGGCTGCCCACCTGAAACTAGTTGAAGAGTTAGACTAGACATTCTGATGCAGCGCTACACCAGTCTAAGCCCATTGACTTCAGTGGGTTTAGCCTGGAGTAATGCAAAGAGTGTGGGAAGGGCAGCACAGTGTAATAATTATGCCCACGTATTTTCTTACAACAAAATTAATCCTCATTACGGTGATCTATGGAAGAAAAATCCTTATAGTGATGACCAGTTACATATCTGTTTGTGCGTTCTGCTGATTTTGCATGCAAAAATTCTCTCCACCATGCTCTAAATTGTTTGGTGTATTGGTTAAGAGCAGTGGACTCTCACCTGGGAGAACCAGTTTGATTCCCCACTCCTCCACATGCAACTGCTGGTGTGACCCTGGGTCAGTCACAAGTTCTCTCAGAGCTGTTCTATCAAGAGCAGTCCTCGAAAGGGCTCTCTCAGCCTCACCTACCTCACAGGGTATCTGTTGTGGGGAGAGGAAGGGAAGGAGATTGTAAGCAGCTCTGAGACTCCCAAGTGAAGGGCAGGGTATAAATCCAATCTCCTCCTCCTCCTTTTCTTCTTCTTCTCCTCCTCCTCCTCTCCCCCATTCTAACCCACACACCTTTGACTTTTGAGACAGAACATGATATAACTATGTATACTATAGAGACAGTACACAGAGAGAACTTTTACTGTGCTATGCATAACCTCTATTGTGTGCAGTTAAGTGAGTATGCAGGCATGGGGGGAGCTAAGCACAGAATATTAAAACTTGGGGGCACCCAATGAAATCAATGTGCAGTAGATTCCGGGGCGGATAGCTGAAAGTACTCCTTAATATAGTGCATATTAACTTGTGAAACTCAGGTCCCGTTCACACGAGGGGATTTGGGCCAGTAGCGGGACAGTTTGGGGGCGGAGCAAATGGCCGCGATCACACCACAACATCTGGGAAGCGTAGTGCTTCCGTCCCCGAACTGGCCCATCCAAGCGATAAACCGCTCCAAGTTGGAACCACCTCCCTAGGTGGTTCATCCCAATGGTGCGCCGCAAACCGGGAGTCTGATCGCCGGCGCCTCCTTGCGCCGGCGCGTCCCTGGCTCCTAGGCGAACTGCGCATGCTCCGACATGCGCAGTTCGGCTGGCTCGACGTCCAATCTGTGTTTTCTCCCCAGCGTCTGATCGTGCCGGGGAGAAAGGAGGCGCGGCCAGGGGATCCGTGGGATCCCGCCGCGCCGTTTCAACTTTGGAGCGGCTTTTAAAAGCCACGCTTTTTGGCGGCTTTTCCCATGCCGTGTGGCAGGGGCCTCAGTATCACAGGATTTGGTGGTGGCTGCTAGCTTAAAAGGCTTTCAAGGGGAGTTACGCAAATTCATAGAGGATAGGGTCCATCAGCTGCTATTAGTTATGATTCCATAATGGAATCTCCGTTTTCCAATTTGGTGGTGGCTGCTAGCTTAAAAGGCTTTCAAGGGGAGTTACGCAAATTCATAGAGGATAGGGTCCATCAGCTGCTATTAGTTATGATTCCATAATGGAATCTCCATTTTCCGAGAGAGTCTGCTTCTGAGTTCTGGTTGTCTGGGGAGCCGCACTGGGGGAGGCTTTGTGCCACTGTTTGGCCTTCTAGTTGGCCACTGTAGAAACAGGATGCTGGACTAAGTGAACCATTGGCCTCATCCAGCAGGGCTTTTATGTTCTTATGTTACGTTATGTAAAACCACTGAAAACGATAGCAGACATTTGCATACCAGGACGCATGGAAACCTTACATGTTTTTATTTTACAGCCCCGTGTCTAAGCAAAGGAAGAACGTCATCAGCTGTGTGACTGTGCATGATTCCCCCTACTCTGATTCCTCTGGCAACAACAGTCCCTATGCAGTGCAACGCCGTGGAGGAAACAACAACGGAAACAGCTATGATACGAAAGGCGCACCAGAAACACATTGCAATGGCAATCCCCGGACGATCATTGTTCCACCACTGAAAACTCAGGCCAGCGAGGTGTTAGTCGAGTGCAATAGCTTGGTGCCAGGTGAGTTCAGTGCTACCCGCAGAGAAATCAACAAGCTGCAAATGAAGGAATCCATTTAATCCAAGCTGCGTTCAGGTGTCACGCCAAGCCACAGTTTGTGATGGTGGGCACAAACACAGCTTGTTTATTGTGCCTGTACATGCCTCCCTCTTTGCATAGAACACAAATGAGGATTCCTGGTTTGAAAACAACTTCAGTTTTCCACGACGTATAAATGCACGCACCCTGGTGATTTGTTTGCTCCCCACAAGCTAGGATTCTAAACTTTCCATTTCATTTATTAGCTTCATTGACCCGAGGTCTTAAGCCAAACATGCAAACAACAAATATAAACTGTGGTTTAATCCCGTTTTACCTTCCTGGTTTGTGGGGAACAAACAAACTCTGATTCACCCAGGGACTGACACTGATACTTCATGGGAAGCCAGAGTTTGTTTCAAACCAAGGATTGTTAATTGTGCTCTGCGGGAGGAGGGAAGGAAATACGAGGGCACAGCTGCATTCTGCAGCCTCAGAGTCTGCTTTGCCCCCCTATATCAGTGGGCACGTTGCATTTGAGATATGTTGCACAGATACACTTCGGAGCATACCAACCAGTGGGCTTTGTTTGGAAGGCACTAATATTTCCTTCACACTGTAACTGACTGTCAGCCATCCTAGTTTTCAGACAGTGTCAACCCCCAGAACGTCCATTATGTATGCATGTACCATCAAGTCACGACTGATTTGTGGCAAGCCCAGCAAGGGGCTTTCAAGGCAAGTGTGAAACAAAGGTGGTTTGCCATGGCCTTCCTCTGCAGAGTCTTCCTTGGTGGGCTCCCTTCCAACTACTGACACTGTTTAGCTGACTAGGTCTGACCCAGTCAGGCTATACCATGCTGCTTCCACTTCCGGCATCCTGTAGACATTGCTATATTAGGAAAGGAAGGTCTTTTACAGATCCCAAATGGAGATAGAAGTTGCTTCTCAGAGTTCTGTGTGCATGGAGTCCTGTAAGCAAGGTTCCCCCATGATTCCATTTGTTGATAATAAGTTAAGTACTAAATAAACCAGGTTCAACCTGAAATGGGCCAGACTTGCAGAAAGGAAAGAGCAAGAGTCTGTAGCACCAGGAGAGCCAGTTTGGTGTAGTGGTTAGGAGCACGGACTCTAATCTGGGAGAACCGGGTTTGATTCCCCACTCCTCCACTTGCACCTGCTGATGTGACCTTGGGTCAGTTACAAATTCTCTCTGAGATATTCTCTCAAGGACAGTTCTCAAGAGAGTTCTCTCAGCCTCACCTACTTCACGGGGTGTCTGTTGTGGGGAGAGGGAGGGAAAGGAGATTATGAAACACTGTGAGACTCCTTCGGTTAGTGAAGGGCGGGGTATAAATCCAATCCCTCCTCCTCCTCCTCCTCCTTTTCTTCTTCTAGATGAACAAAATATGTGGCAGGGTATGAGCTTTTGGGTCATTGCTCACTTCTTCAGGAAGGAGTAGCCCTCTGCTCCATCACTGGGTCCCAGCCTATGAATTCCCATTATTAGATGGGATTTGATGTGTTCTCTTTCCCTTTGCAGTCACTACCAGTCACCATTCATCCTCCTACAAGTCAAAGTCCTCCAGCATTGTGACCTCCACCAGTGGTCACTCTTCAGGGAGCTCATCTGGAGCCATCGCCTACAGGCAGCAGCGGCCAGGACCACATTTCCAGCAGCAGCAGCCTCTTAATCTCAGCCAGGTAAGCCAAGTGAGTAAGGAAGAGAGACAGAGGGCCTTACCATTTGGGACTTAAATTCTTGCTCAGGTTTAATAATGCCAATCAGTGTGAGGCTGTGGCTAGAGTGCTGGATGTTGATCAGAGAGAGAGAGGTTCAAATCCTCACTGTGAAGCTTACTGGGAGACTCTAAGCCAGTAATTCATTCTCTGCCTAAATTTCTCAGCCTAAACTAGAGTTGTTGTGGAGATCAAATGTGTAAGGGGGGCACCTATGTAAGTTGCCCTAAACTTCTGGGGGGAAGGGCAGCACGCACGGACAGGAAGGAAGGAAGGAAGGCACAAGGCACTTGGCATTGTTGAATAGTTCAGAAGTAAGTGAGCAATGTGTACAGGCTTGAGAGATTGCTTGCAGGAGTGGGATCAGTGAGTTCTTGCAGACTTGGAGGAAATGTTCTCATGGGACTGACCGAGGGGTAACAGCGATCAGAGATCCAGGGCGAGGAAATAAAAGCAATTGTCTGGCCAAGGAAGTTTAAACAGAATGCAGAACCAGGACCCAGTAAGTCATCCAGTCATGATGGCGGACATGGACCGTCTGAGTATAACCATAGCAGACAGAAGCCAGGAAAAGATGGAACATAGACTGTAAGGAGGTAGCAATTTGGAGCAAAGACAGCAGGAAGGCTAACAGTCGCACCGTGAAGGGCCACAATGATAATTATTGAATAAGAAATGCCCAAATTAGACCTTTCATTTCTTGCTAATCAAGCAGAATATTTTTTAATATTTACTTTTTTAAACCACCTTGGTCCCCATTGGGAAGAAAAGTGGGATATAAATGAACTTGTATGTATTATTTCTAGGCAATGAAGTTGTTAAAGAGACAGTTCAACATCTGCATGGCCCTAAGAGCCAACTGATGTGTGAATAGTCGCTAGAGTTGGTCAAAAGCAAATGTGTCATCTTGGGATTCTCTGCTGATTTACATGCAGTGTAACAATGTAATAAAGGTTACAGTATAATGTAACCTCTTAGGCCCACTGTACACATTAAAGGCTTTTTAAAGTTGGCAACTGATACCACGTGGTAAGCTCTTTACGCGTAGCAGTTCAACATGCAACGGGAATGATATTTTGCAGTTGAAGGAAATCACTGCTTACTGCAATACCATGTTACTTCACATGAATAGCTTACCTTGTGATGATAATAATCACTGTTACCCGGGAGGGGGGATAATATGTAGGTTTCTTCCACATATCTGACCCTGACTTGGTATTCCCAGGTTTTCTGTATGAAAGGGCAGAAACAGGGTTGTTCTCTCTTGAGTTATTCTGAGAGGGATACTAATGGTGGTAGGAGATGATGTTATCCTGCTTGACTGAGCATTTTATTGCTTTATCTGGGAAATATGCATTAGTCTAAATGTCTGCTGAGTAGGTTGGAATGTTGAGTACGTTGGAATATTGTGTTATTGTCCCACAAGCACCAACTATCTGTTTGGTGTATTATAGAGTCAAAGACAAGCCCTAGATGGACGGTATGACAGTTTCCACAGGAACGTGGTTGTCCGATCCTGAGATGGCATTTCCTTGCACTAAATTCCTATCACCATAATTAATTGATTTGATCCAAGATGGAGTAGCATTTGAGGTGTCTGCCTACACCACAGTCAAATGTAGGGGCTTTGGGGACAACACCACAAAAATAATTGAAAGTATATCATGTGAACCAGTTCTTTGTTTAAAGTGAGATTTGGTGGGAGTGTAGCAAGGTAATACAGAAGTAAAGAAATTAGCACTCTATTCTATTCTGAGCTGCACATTCCCTGCAGAGCAGCTAGGCACTGGATAATATGATTGTATGAATTTTAAAAATTCATATTACTTTTGTTCCTTTGTGTACCCAAGACAGAATTGCCTTTGTAACTCCTATGCCTGTCATAAGATAACACGGTCAGAACAGAATGTTCCAAAAGAAATGTAGGGTTCCTGATTCTGTTTCTCTCGTATAATACAAGTGCAAAGGGGCTTTTGCAGGGGACTAATCGTCCACAGGTTCCCTTCTAAAAATTTATTCTTGGGCTTTTTGTGTGTTTGGTTGGTTGTTTTCTTTCATTGTCAGAACACTAGAAGAAGCCCAGCTGCAGAACAAAGCCGGGGGGGTGGGTGCTTGTAGGTAATAATAAGCAGGTGCGCAACAAATAAAGGACCCTCCCCCAAAACGCACCCCATACACACACCTGCCAGTCCTCTCCTGAAAATGCCTCCTGCCCCATTTAGAAAATGCATTTGCTGGTATGTGTTTCTACATTTAGAGACAGGGGTTAAAAAGTTGGCATTTGAAAATCAAAGCATATTCCTCTGATCGCTTTGAGCTAAAGGGTTCTTTCAAGGGAGGAAAACTTCCTCCAACTTGGAATGACTTTGATTGAGAAAGGCTTTCTCTGATGGCGAAAAGTCTTTCTTTGTTGAAGGAAATCTGTCTTTTGTTGGAAGAATGCTTGGTAGAAGGAACTCATAGGAACCGTCTTATGTGATGAAAGTCACAGGATCCAACCCATTGTTGTCTGTGTTTGAAAACTCAGGAGACCAAAGGGGGAAAGATATCACAGTCATTTTATCCATCTCCTTTTTTGAACAGGCCCAGCAGCACATCACGACCGACCGCACAGGGAGTCACCGTCGACAGCAAGCGTACATCACCCCAACGATTGCTCAGGCGCCATATTCCTTCCCACACAACAGCCCCAGCCACGGTACAGTCCATCCCCACCTGGCGGCGGCGGCGGCGGCTCATCTCCCCACGCAACCTCATCTCTACACGTACACTGCACCCGCTGCCTTGGGCTCCACAGGCACCGTGGCCCATTTGGTGGCTTCCCAAGGTTCCGCTCGGCACACCGTGCAGCACACTACGTACCCAGCCAGCATCGTCCACCAGGTTCCTGTCAGCATGGGTCCTCGCGTCCTTCCATCGCCCACCATCCACCCGAGCCAGTATCAGGCTCAGTTTGCCCACCAGACCTATATCAGTGCGTCTCCAGCCTCAGTCTACACTGGATACCCCCTGAGCCCCACCAAGGTCAACCAGTACCCTTACATCTAAACACTGGAATGGGAAAAGGACATGGCACACACTGAGGGGAGGGAGGCCGGTTTTTTACTGAAGAGAATAAACAGGACAATGGACAATGCAGCGGGAGGCTCGAAACAAAACTTGAACAAAGGAGACTGAGTAAAGAAATGAGAGAGGGAGAAGAAGGCAAAGAGAAAAGGAGATACCTGTTGTACACGTTTTATTTAAAAAAAATGAAAAAGGATAAAAAGAACGAAAAACAAAAATACAAAAAAACATTCTGCACCGGACTCAGTGGTGGAAGAAGCAAAAGGGCCACCATTCTCCGGTCCTGGGGTTGTTGTTGTTGTTTTTTGTTTTTGTTTTTTTGATAACTTCATCAATAGACTTCTACAGATTATTTTCATCTGGTTACAGGAGACTACATTTAGGAATTTGCTGTCAAACCTCCTAATACAAAGTTTCATAGGTGTTTGGGTATATATATTTTTAATTAAACCAAGGAGTATACAAATTAGGGATTTATCCAGAACTTCAAAAGGGTTGTCATCTTGTCATTGCACTGGTGGTTGTAACCCAAAGTGAAAAACAAAAAAATGCAAAGTATGATGTGGGTTTTTCTCCTGGAAGAAAGATTAAAAGATGTACAGGAAAGGAATGAGGTGGGGGAGGGGATGAATTGTTCCAGCTCTCTCCATGCCAGGCTTATACTGAGCAGAAAATGCTATCGGGTTAGACTGGGAACAATAAGGATATTTGTTATTACTTTAAGCACCCTGGATAAATCCCTGCGCAACGTTATTCCTTAAGAAAAGTCTTTAATAATGTACAATAGAATCTCATCTTCCTTACTCGGAAACACTTCTTTCTTTCTTTCTTTCTTTCTTTCTTTCTTTCTTTCTTTCACCCCTTAACCCCTCACCATTTCTCAGCCCAATCCTAACATTTCTTGCTCTGTTGGATAAGTGCATATGACAGCCCACGCCAGTAGCAAAAACATCACAAAGCATGACATTATGCTAATAGTGTGTTGGCATGTGCACAGTGTTGTGAGCAGATAACAAAACCACAAAATGTTTAGGATTGGGCACTTAGTGTTAGGAGTAGAAGAAAGATCTAGCTGGCCCTTGGTAGAATGTAGCACTATTCCATACATGCACCCTTTCCCCCCTACTTTGTGTTAAACTCCAATGATACCAATAGACTATTCCTCAATGTGATTGCACAAAAAAAAAAGTGATATAACATAGGCATGTAACAAATGTGATTGTCCAGGTATATATGTGTGAGTGTGTGTGTGTGCGCGCGCACGCATGTGCGCACTGATGCTGCCTTCTCTTGTGGTGTGGTCCTCAGCACAGCCATTGCAAACTGTCACAGTCTTAGTTTTACATCATTCCCTTGTAGTGCCTTACCAAACTACAGTTGCGGTTTTAAGGGTTTACTTCCACTGGTACTCCTAGAAACTGACTGAGGCTGGTTGAAAATTTAATCTCAGCTCTTTTTCTTCTTCTTCTAATTCTTTTCATGTTCTATATTGTTACTTCTGCGCTTTAATTTTCATAGTGTCTGTCTTGGGTAAGTTCTCAGAGTCGGGCAGGGGGAGCAGCTGTAGAATTTGGCTGCAGTGTTTAAAAATGGGTGGGCCTAGGAGGGTGTTCTGGGAATGGAAATGACTTGATTGGTTCTTGGGGCTGAAAAGCAGCTTTCCAAACATTAACATTTTGCTGGCGGGCTTACTGGTTCATTTTCTGATTTGGATGCTCTCAGCTTCCCCCATAATTCTTTGCAGTTTTTTTATCGGGGTTAGGGTGGAGGAGAGCTCCCAAGTGTGATTTGGATCAGAAATACACTCAGTACCTCATGTGAAATTGGGGGTGGGGGTGGGGAGATGGTCACCTTGGAAGAACTATATGTTTTCACTTGAATGCTTTCAGTGGGGAAAAGAAAGAAGACAGAGAAATGGAATTCATTCTAGAGAGCATCAATCTCAGGTTTACTCCAGAGGTTCTTCAGACGTTCTTCAGGAAAAGTGCTTGCACTGGCACCTGAGCAGGTTGGGCAGCTGCCTAAGGCCCAGCACTACCTTATACCAGGCTACATCACCTTTGGTGGGAGGCTTACGCACCAAGCAGAACTGGTGGAATCCCTTCTTGGTCCAGTACATGTGATAGCTGGACCTAGACCTGACTTGGAACCATGACCAAACCCATTATGGTTTAGCTGGCTTATTTCCTCCCCTACACCCCATTCCTACTGTGGCTAAAAACACACACACAACAAAAATCACTCTTCAGATTTGCTGGACTCCATCTCCTCAGCTCCAAATAGTCTGCACTGTCTTGTTTTTGTAACAGGTTTCCAAAGATAACCTTACATACTATGGGAAAGCTAGAGGGTTGGAGGGAAATCTTACCACAGCACTAATACAAGTGGGTGCTTCTGCTCTGGCAGTGTTTATTATTTCCCTGTGGAGACTGGCTTGTATTGGTGGTCTGAGGCCTGTCGTGAAACTGGACCTATACCTGCATAGCCTCTCAGTACCACTACAGCTGTATTTGTGACTTTGGAAAAGGAGTGTTCAGGCCATTGGGTAAGATGTTGGGATTTGGCAGGTCAATTGACTGAGAGAAGAGGGATGGATCTCAGGGGTGGTTAAAGGGAAAAGGTTTATCAAGAGGTAAGTCGACAAGAAAGGCAAGCACAGTTGTAATATCTGGAGGTGAGTGCGTAAAGCCTCCCCTGGAAAGAAGGATGAGTTGCCCCTATAGATATTTTTTTGAACCCCATTAATTTTCTCTGATTAATCATCAAACAAAGCCATCTCCATTTCCTGTTTTCAAACTGAGTGCCATTTTATCTTTCTGCTTCTTCCCTTCTACCCCTAAATACCCCTCTGCTGTTTCATTGGTACATGCACCTTACATCCCCCCCCCCCGGGAAGAAAACCCGTTCTGATTGCTCACTCCCTTCAAGGAATTCCACATTCTCTCAGTGTGATGTCCTTTATTATTCTCCTGCCTCACCTCTTCTAGGATGGAAGCTTCATGCTGCTTGAAAGGAAGGATATTGTTTTGTGGTTGTTGTTGTGTTATTGTTGTTAATTTTAATATGTAATAATTATGTTTTACTCTTGGTTTTAATTGCACATGCATTCCTGAGTCTTTGTATTGTTATTATTTTACTTAATAGGGTATTGATTGTTCATTAAGTTGGATTTTTTTTCTGTGTCACTGCTGATGAATCATAGTTTTACAGTGAAAGAGGGATATTCTGGTTGAGAAGTGTGTATAGATCACACAAGCGGGCAGCCAACCTGTTAATGGCTGTTAATGTACTATGACATACCTTTGCAACTTCTGATATCGTCACATAATAATCCATGCATTCAGAAGTTTAAAAAAAGGCCCAAACACAAGAACTCCTAGCCTCAGATGAGGATTCGGGATGGATACTGAGATCATGGAGATAGTTGTATCTGTTGACACATGAGGCTGTGGAATCCAATGTGAGGCTAAAACCACATAGACAATCTGGCTTGAAGGCTTCACAGCCTCAAATAAAGCTCAAGCTCTTGAGTATTTGTAGTTAGCTTTCCCACTTAAGGAACCCAATGGGATGCTCTCTTGTTGTCAGCCAAGACCAATGTCATTTATGATGCCAATAAAAGAGAGAGCCCAGTCTAGGCACTGGGGTGATTGGCTAATTAAAAGGGAGAACTCAGAAACTCAATAAAAGATGTAGCGGTCCATTGTTCTGTCCTTCTTTCATGGCTCAAGATTAAAGGCTTCGCACTACAGCCAGAATAGTTTTGTGTTTCCTCCTTCCCAACATATGTAATTTTTTTTCTTTATAATTAACACCTGCAGATGTTTGCGATATTTTATAGTTTTGTTACTGGTACAAAATGATCGTATTTATTTATTTCTTTAGGTCAAAAAGGAGCTCCACCCTATTCTCCTTTTGTACTACAAAACCAAGAGTGATCATTCTCTACTGTTGAGCATTATCTGACAGAGCTCCATTTTGACACTTTTGGAGAGTTCATCCCAGTTGGTTTCACAGGGATGCACATGATTGGCAGACTAGTGGCAAGAAAGGGACGAAGGGTTGGTTTTAATTTCGCACAGACATTTTTAGTTCACTTTCTATGCATGTGCGCACCTCTCTCTTTTTTTTTCCAAGACAGGATGATTCTGGTGATATGGGAGCAAGGGACTAAGGATATGATGTGATGGCAAGTAAATGCATTGAGGATGCAACAGTCTTTTTCTTCAGCTGTGTTGGAAACAGAACAGGACTCTGACTGCAGATTCTAGCAAGGTTAGGGGTTGGGTTAGTGCAGAGACAAGTTCAGGACAAGCACGTAGGTAAATAATGCATCCACAGAAGGACTGTGCAGACATTACATTCACATACACTTGTAAGAGCCAAAGTGGAGTTGGAGTCTCTGGCCCTGCATGCCACCCTGTGTAGAAGCAGAACTTCTGCATGGCGCCTGTGGGCATACAAACTGTAGGCTCATAGGCTTCGTACTTAGGGATGTTTAGATGTTATGCTGAACGCGTGTAGGGTGAACGAGATGGTACCAGTGGGCATGATTGTGTTCCTGGCTGTCCGTGTTCAGTAGACTGGCATCAATCCTGCGATTTAGCTTAGAAAAATTTGAGCCTCCAGCATTAAGGAGCCTTCCTTGAACTCTTGTGGCTCTTCCTAAGCAGAAAAGCTACTCTAGTCAGAGGAAATCTCCTCTAGGCTTTTAATTTCCATAAGGGCAGTGGCAGGATCCACACCACTGTCTCTTCAGTTCAGGTTCTGCTGCAGAGAGTGAGATGCAAGTGGTGCTTTTCTGACCATCTTTGAAAACATAGGTACTTTGGTGTATTAGACACGAGGGAGTTAAGGCCGTCTACGGATCAAAGCACCATGATGGCATAAAACCGTAACAGCAGCAGGGAAATAGCTGAGCTCTCCAGTGGCCACAGTGGGATTGAAAAAAATTATAGCACAGTGGGGGGGGGTTTGGAACGCCCTTTGGAGTTCTTTGAATACTGTCGGAGGGGAGGGGAGGTGACCGTTTGATAATGGTAGTTGCGGGGGGGGGGGATGGAAACTGCTCCGGGCATCCTAGAGACTCACTGTGGGGTTAACACCAGTAGGTAGTGGCCTATAAAATGAATTTGGCTGTTGCCTACGACAGTGTTTTAATGATGACAGCACAGTGAAATAGTAAGTGCTTTCTTGCCTTGCGGTCTTCTGGTGTTGGAAGGGGATGGAAATGGTTAGACACTTGCCTTTTTTATTGTCGCTCATGACAGTCTGTACTACTGGTGTTGA